ATAAAAAAGAATGGCTTTGTTTTAATACAAAACTGAGAACTCTTTAGTAAACAAAAAAAAAAGTAAGAAACTTTATTAATGATAGTTCAAAATTCAATTAATCAATATCTGATATTATTTATTTATATGAAAAAATTAAAAATTAAAAATTAAAAATAAAAATAATATAAAAATAAAAAATAAAAAATTAAACTTCCTATTCCTTCTACCCTAACTACTGGTTCATCATTAGCATATTATAGGCTCTTCTTTGATGATATCTCATAATTAAAAAATGTAAAAATACTTAATATAAATCTAAAAATTCCTAAAATTTTTATTAAGAATTATCAATCAAACATTTTTAATAATTATCTGCCTATCTTAAAACCTAGTTCAGAATAGATTATAAAGTTGTTTTCTATTATATGATTATTTTTCTCTCTTTTTGTACTATTATACTAATCACAAAAATCTTAAAGGATATATATTAATTACTTATACTATTAAGTTATATTTATCAATCTATTATTATTTATTTTTTTACTTACCCATAATTTCTCATCAGTTTTCTTTACTTCTACTTATATTAGCAAGCAGAGTAATTGCTATTATAGCATCAATTTATTCTTTTTATAATTCTTTATCAAAATCCTAATTTATTACTGTAAAAATAATAATGATATTCATAGTTGCATTTTTTCTCTTCTCAACTAAGTAGTCAGTCTTTGCATCTTCTCAAATAATTTTTGATTTAGTCATTTTTATATTGGTTTATAAAAAGTTAAAATTTTGAAATGATTTGAATTAATAAAATGATTGAGAGTATGTTAAAATGTTTAAAAATGAAAAATTAAATAATGATAAAATACTTCACTTTAAAAATAAATTTCTTTATTATTGAATCAAAATTCTTATTTGATATCTTGTGAAAATTTGAATAATACAATAAACTCACAATCAAAATACTCAAACACTTTGTATTTGAAATTCTGAATTAGATTTCAAAAACAATTTAACAGTCATATTATTTATAAAATTAGATTAATACAAATATAACTTAAACATATAGTAGATCATACAATTAGAGACAATGATAATTTATCACTTGGATGATAAATATAAATTATTATAAAAAAACAATGTCACAATTTGGTAAAAAACAATAGAAAATTTCAACACAAGTTTAACAAAATTTATTACAAATTGTTAAAAATTATAAAAAATTATATGAAATTATAACACAATTCAACATAATTTTAACACTATCGCAGAAGATATTATTTAATAAATTTGTATTTTCAATAACTATTTTATTATATTATTATGTTTATTACATAAAAAAAGAAAAATACATCTCAAATTATTAATGTTTTATGTTAAAAAATTATTATTAACATTATTTACATTAAAAAAAATAGTCTTAAATTATTAATAATATTATTACATTTAAAAAAGTACTATTATTATTTAGGTATAGTAACAAAATTATTGAGATTAGTTTATCTTGCCAAAATAAACTGCTGTTTTAAAGCTTTTTTTTTAAGTTTTTTTAATAAGCTTTAATTCTTCTTTGTTCACATTAAAAAAAATTAAGAATCCTTTAATAATAATTACTTATAATAAAGCAATTGAAGCTTATGATAAAGTAATTTTATATTTGAAATAACGAAAAGAAATTTTGGTAAAACTGCTTTTATAATTTCTTCATTGTATATATTTTTTCTATAGTCTCAGACTTATCATATTGAACAAATTCTTCAGCAGTTAAAGGGTTATTAAAAATAAGTTTATCAATCAAAATTTGAATTTCTTTCAACTCCCTTAGACATTTAAATTTAAGTTATATATCAGTAGATTTTTATTATTATTATTATCATCATCATCTTGGAGTAGAATATTTGCTTTCAATCAACAATTTTAAATTATCTTTTACATTACATTATTTTATGCTTATGAAACATATTTTACAAATTTTTAATATCAATTTTCACAGATTCAATATGATAAATATTGAAATTGTTAAAAGATTTGACTTATTTTTTAGATAGAATTTTCAATATTATGCTTAAAACAAATTAAATTTGAATTAAAATATAAATAAAGTATAAAACATATAAGAATGTTCAAAAAAATAAAACAAATATGTTTTTTATCTTATAACTATTGATAATATCTTAATCACAAGGTTAGAAATGCAATATAGTATTTGAAGAAAATGTTTGATAGTAATATTTATTAACTGAGTGGTTTCGTATAGAATATATGTTAGATATTATCAATAAGAAGAAGAATATTTTTGATTTTGCATTATCATTTAGTTATTAAGTTTCTTAATTTATTCATTTCAAATTGATACTTACATTCAAACTTTTTTTATTTCAATAATATTAAACTTGAAGGATTTTCTTATCAATATTTTTTATGACCTGAGAATTTTCATATTTATGTATAAAAAAAGAAGTTAACTTTTCATTCCTATTACATTACAGGTAAATAGAATATTTATATGATTTTTTGATTACTTAATTTCAGATACTTGGCTATTTAATATTATGTAACTGGATTTAATCTTTTAAAATAAACCTGTTTCATTACAATTAAAGATATTGTTGAAATCATAATTCTTAAGAATACTATAAATTTCATTATGCATTACATCAAGATCTTTAAGTATTATATTTTAACTTCACTATATATATTATATTGCTATAAGTTTTGTTGTTTCTTAAAATTATCTATATATTACTAAATAAAAAAGCAAACCTTAAAACCTTAGTTAAAACAATACTATAAGTTATAATAAAATCAGCTTAGAGCATATTTTTTACCCAAAGAATTCAATAAAAGGAAAAGTTTTTTTTATATTTCAAACTAGCTTTATATGATTCAGTATTTATAAGATCCTTTTCTTTTAAAATATCATTAATCTTACCTTTACTAACTTTATATTCATTTGTTAAGTCTTTTTGTTTTAATAATAGAATGAAGTTTTTTTAAATAAATCTTTTTCTATGTAATAGTAAGAGATTTTTATTTTTTTAAAAGGTTTATTACTAGGTTCCTTTTATTTCTTTGAATTTATTTTTGGCATTTTTATGTTAAAGAAAGAAATATAAAAAATAAATTGCAAAATATGTGAAATAAAAAAATATTTAAAAAAATATTGTAAAACATTATAAAACACTTTAATTAACTTTATTAAAGTATAAAAAATTACAAAATTTTCATATACAAATTTATCTTTTTTACTAAAATTCATTTTTATAAATCTTTGTTATATTAAAAAAAAATTTATTATAAATATATGCATTATACAAAGAGATATTTATATAATGCATATACATATACTTTAATTCGTTAAACGTAATATGAACTTTAGTTTACTAAATTCAATAGTAAGATTTTTCTATATTTAAAATATGTATCACACTGAAGATCTATTATATTGTAAAATTTGTTACAAAATTTTCTATAAAAAGTGTTGACTGTAGGTTAAGAAATATAGCAAATAATTAGTAAAGGATGATTTATTAAATTAGTAATATAATTATCATTATACATTTCATTTATATTTGTAAAGATAATAAACTTAATAAAAGTAATTATGATTCTAAAAATAATTTATATATATAAAATTTTGTAAGCAGTTTAATATTAATAATTAATATTTTATAACAATTTATTATTTAAAACACTTTTATTATTTATTTAATGATTTAATTATAACTTCTAAAATAATACATAATAAATATTTATGAGATAATTTTACAATTTTCTTAATATATATCAACTTTATTTATTTAATATTTATTAGTTTGAAATTAAATCAAGACTGAATTTTAGTTAAAAGATCTATAATAAAAATTCAATCTGTTTTCAATTTAGTTTTTGGATTTCTTAGAAAAATTTAGTAGATAAATTGCTTATATAATCTTAAAAAAGTATAAATTTTTAAATAAATATAAAGTATCATTTTTATTAATACTATTATTATATAAAAATATAATTTAATATATATGTATTATTAATTTATTAAATTATTATTTATTTTAAAATCAAGTTTTAAAATTTACTATAAAACATTTAAAGTTTTATATATTTATTTATGAATTGAATTATTTATTACTAAAAAAGTTATAAAATTTTTTAATAAGTTATAAAAATTATTATAATAAAAGTTTTTCTTTATAAAAATAAATGCCATAAATTAATATAAAAGTTTTTATAAATATTTTTAAATTTTATTATATGGGAGGATTTTAAATGAAATTTAATTTTTAATGAATTTTATTTTTTGATAATATTGGATTAAAATGTTAAAAGAATTAAATTTAGTCAAAAAATTCTCATAATCCCATTTTTCTAGCAAACCTCCTATGTTAAAATAAAAATAAAAAAAAATACTATATAAAAAATAATTAAAATTATTATATTTTATATAATAAAAGAAATCTATAATAATTTTCTTTTATTAGTTATAAATTAAAATTTTTATTTTTCGTTTTAATTAAACTTTTTTTAGATAAACAATAAATTTTTATATAAATGCTAATTAAACTTTTGATCTAACTTACCAGGTAGGACGGCTGCGGTTATGAATTACGAATTGAATTGGTCGTTTCACTAAACTTACATGATTTGAATTTTTTACCAAAAATAAGCTTTGTCCATTCATAAGGAAAACTTTAAAAAAAAAAACAATGTAACACAGTTAAACGTGTCATTATCTTTATATAAATGGTAGTTATTGATTGTTTGAAAATTTTTGTAACGGTTCGGTTAATGGAAAAAAAAAATTTTTTTTTTCCTTTCTTTCTACCATTTTTTTTTTTTTTTTTTGATTAAATGATATAAATAGCTATAAAACTGTGACCTTACCTTTTTTCTTTTTCTTTTTTTTTTACCCCCAAACAAAGTAAAAAAAAAAAAAATTCTCGCAGTAATAATAACAACTGTCAATATTTTTGAGTGAATTATTATTTGAACGATGGGAGATTCAAGAACCCATACAATGTCATCATCGGTTACTTCTCGTGCACCTCCTGAAATTCTTGGTAGTGCAATCTTTTCGAAAATCCGATGGTAATATTATCAGCCATCAATTTATCTAATCATTGGTTTTCTTCACTAACCTTGAAATTTTTTTCAACTCAAAGCTATTTAAAACCCGAACAAATTAGTCGGAGAATATTTGCAAGGCCTAAAATCCTAGTCGAGATTTATTACAATCAAACTCGACAATGTACAACAAAATCCGAAATGTAGTAAAAAAAAATTTGCTTTATCTGACTTAGGTTTTTTGTCATGGCGTTTCAATTGATTCCTTTTATTATTTTTAAAAAAAATTCGAATTAGTGTGCTTAATCATGATAAGACTAAAAAAAGAGCTAATTGGAATGAGCAAATATTTTTTAAAGTTTCCAATATGGCGACAGAATTCCATATTATCGTTTATAATACTGCTGTTAGTGGCCCTGAAGGGATATTGGGCGAAGTTATTGAAAAATTTGATAACTTTGAACTATTTAAACATGAAGAAAATCGAAGTATATATTAACTATGCTTAAAATTTTGTTTCAAACATGTTTCGTGGAATGAATAAGTATATATTAATTTTTATATTAATTTTTTTGTAATTAGTTACTTTGCCATTGAAAAAATTTCCAAGAGATGAACAAATTGGTGAAGTTTTTTTTATTCTTCATATGTTATCAAATGTGGGTAAAAAAAAAATTTTTTTTTCTTACACTGTTTTTTTTCGTTGAAGAATTTATTAATGTTGATTAAATATTGGATATTAGAAATCTCCAAGATATATGATGGAGCGGATCAGTGACCCGGCTAATCGCGCAAAAAAGATTGGAATACTTCTAATCAATCTTATCACGTAGTAAGTTTTTAAATTATAAACGAAATTAAATATGCTTTTTAAACAAAAAAAAAATTTATTTTAAATCAATAGCAAAAATCTTGCTGGAAGACGAGGGGCATTGGAAATTAAATTAAATGATGAAAGTCAGTCTACAGAAGGATACTGGAACACAACAGGGAAATGGGTATATCCTATTGCATTGAGTATTATTGCTAAGCCGACTCTCGACTTGGTAATTCAATGTCGTTATACCGAACATGAACGTGCCTCGACGAGAATTTGCCTTGGCCCAGATGGAAGTCATGAGCATATATGGAAACGTTTAATGGACGGTCCTTATGAAAGTAAGAGACATATTTTTCAATAATTCGAGATAAATAATTCGCGAAGCTTATTTTTTTTAAAAAATTTTTAAAATATAGTGAAGCATATTTCTTTACATGATAATGATCATGATGCTGCGAAAATTGGACTGAAATTGTCAGTCCATGAAAATGTTTCTCCGAAAACATTATTCAATATGGATGATGAATCAATAACACCTCCTCATACCGAAAACTCTGTTCCTGAGAGTCCAATTGACGAGGAACCAATTGATATTAGACAACCTGAACGTAGACCATCTACTAATTCGTCGAGATATCGAATTAATAGAAATAATAATCCTAATTTCTCAACGTCTCCTGATAGTAATATTTCTAGACCAATTAAACCCCAATTAACACCAGAAACCTCTGGTACACCACCAAATCCTAATAATCACCATCGAAAGTACAGCACTTATGATGACGATCTTGAATCGCAATATTCACACGTCCCTGTCAATTATTCACCACCAAGATCTGTAGTTGACATGGACTATGATACAAGTTTACATAATAAAGGTTCCTTTAGTTCTTCCACTGGATCACCAACTTATCCTCCAACTCCTCCACAAAGTTCACAAAGCATTAATCCTAATAGTCACACGAGTCCTACTAATTCGATTTTCAGCAGTCCACCACGAAAACAACATACAATGTCATCACCTCCGCCTGATCCCGCACAAAATCCACACCCTAAAAATGATGGACTTAGGTTCGTCTGTCAACGTTATGTGATAGTCAACCAATTGCGTTTGGGTAGAAGAAGAGAAGAAAACAATTTACTTTACAAGGGGAATCATATCCTGAGCGGGCTAAATGTTATAATAAAAGAATTTAATTCGAAGATATCATGGGAGATAGAGACGCAATATTTGAAAGAATTGGCTTCCAAACACTTGGTAAGGTGGGTGGATAAGAGCTCAAATGAAAGTACAAGAGAATATCTTAGTATCACAGAGTATTATGGTAGGGCTTTGCAATTAGAGGCACGAAAATTTAATAATGAAAGTTCCAGACGACAAATTTTTAAATCTATTTGTGTAGCGATAGAATGGATTCATAGCAAAGACGTTGTACACTTGGATTTAAATCCCTCGAATATTATTTGTAAAGAGGGTAAAGAAAATTACAAAATCAGAATATGTGATTTTGAGACGTCACGACAGATTGGGGAAATACTTCAAGTCCAACCTATCCTTTCTGAAACTCAATCAATTCGTTCATACGATACACGATATTCCAGCTCGCAAAATCAAATATTTCAGCAACAACTCACAATATCATATACATGTCCTGAATTGTTGTTGTTGGATTATGAAGATAGCTTTGCTAGCAATCAAAATAACGAAGTCGAAGTTGATTTTAACCAAGATATCTATAGTTTGGGACTCATCCTCTATTTCCTATATAGCAATAGAACCTTATATGGTTCAATAGAAGAATTTCATGAAAAACTTTCAGGATTTGAAGATAGAATTAGAAAAGAAATTGAAGATAATAGAGTGACGGACCTTATATTATCTTGTATTAGTATAAATCCAAAGGAACGACCTTGCATTGAAGACGTTTTACAGAACGCCTATTTCAACAAATCAAGTCGAGGTAATAGCGGTAAAAGTTTCAGTTTGGATGATGGTTGTGGTGAGGAAGAGGATTTAAGTTGAAAATTACAAGTTTAGATTGATATATTTCTGTTACTTGTTTTAAGTTGTATAAATTGTACATTACATTATCATTATAACTATTATAACTGTATTATTATCTCATTTTTTTGCCGTAATATAATTCATATTATTTGATTATTTTTATTGGACTTATTTTTAATAAAGGATAGCTAGTCTAGTTTGGCCATTTGGTTGCTTATCATTTATTAAGTAACGTTTATAATAACATTTGTAATTATTTATTATTGTTTTTTTTTAAGGGTTAGCTTTGTTACAAATTTCTTCTAACAAATATAATTTGTTAACGACGCGTTTTCGAAATTATTACAATGTAAATTCCGCAATTTTTTTTGTTACAAAATTCACCGAGTAGAAAATCATTTCCATCTCTTATTTGTGGGGTTATCAGTTGATTAGCTGACACAGGACCCTAAAAATTTGGTCTGCACAAAACTCTCGGAAAGAATTTACAAAAATGACTTAAATAATGAAACTCAGACTTTACCTATCTATTTGGGGTTCTAATTATGTACACCTACTACGGATAAAACCGTATAATAAAAATTGTCCAAAATAAGAATTAAAAGAAATTTTTTTTTAAAAAAATTCTGACCGATCTTGTCACGAGAATCAAAAACCCTTGGTTTTTTTTGTTTGGCCCAAAACGGCATAGCTTTATCAATCTTATGGGTAAAAAAAGGGAATTGATAAGGATATTATCAAGGTCAATTTGGTTAAAAAAAATGTAACAAGGAATTTTCAAATAACAAATATCATATCGGTAAAGATATCGGAAATAAGCTTCAAAAATCCATTTTTTATTTTTTTATGATCATTATGAAATATTATGAACATTATTATTACGAAACTACTGCGGCAAATTCCATATCATAAAAGGTCACATGACTCTCAATTTTTACAGTCGAATTTTTCACACGTTTCAAAATTGTAATTTTACACACTATTGTTTTAATAAACAAAAAATTACATTCCAACAAATTGAAATGTACAGCGAGACCTCTAAATGCGCCCCCTTGGGACCATAGTGAAAATTTGAAAAAAAATGTGCATTTAAAGAGGGTGTGCATTTAAAGAGAGAAATTTGGTATGATCTTTATATACTGAATGTGCATTTATAGAAAAATATATAATGCGTGCATTTAGGGAGGTGCATTTAGAGAGGTCTCACTGTATTTATCGTATGCTTAATTTTATTAGGTTATGATGTGCCCTTCCTAACATTCGTTGAACAATGGATCAATAAATATGATAATCTTCGATGAAGAGATGCACGAGATTATATAATAACCCGTCAAAAGTTCTCAAGAATATAAAGCAAAACGCGTTCATTATGCAAGGGTCATCCGAATCCTAGTGAATATTTGCGCAAATCACGTGATTCATACACCAACCAATTTTTTTTCTTCAAAAAAATAAAAAGGCTGCAAGGACAAGTAAAGAAAAAAAACCATCATACCTTTTTTTTTTTTTTGCAAAAGGTTCCTAATTGAATGCCTGTAGCAAATCAAATTTGTAAAACAAAAATTACGACTTGCATGATCATCCTTAATAAGAAAAAAGTTTCAATTCCAAAAGAGTGGAAGAATCATTTTATTGATAATCAAGTAAGTCTCTTTTCTTCCCTTTTGAATTTCATTAAGCACATATTTACATTTATTTAATGCATTTTACAAAGAATCAATCGCGATTGAATCAGGTATGACAACCAATTGAACGTCACGTGATACATGGAAATTTATGCACTCAATGACAGGAGAAATAAATATAATTTTTTTTTTCAATAGAATTCTCAAACGGGTATCTCAATAAACAAATTAAACGATGAAACATATTTATTTATTTTTTAAAAATTAAACATAAATAAAATAAATGAAATGACCAAAAATGCACAAAATTTTTAATTTGACGCATATATTAATATAATTTTCGATTATTAATTTAATTTTTATATTATTTATTTTTATTCCTCAAGAAAAATAGTTTTGGATGCGCTTTATACGAGAATGAGGGTCAGCGAAAGAAATAAAGGGAAAAAAAGATCAACCACGGTCGCCAAGATAATTTAAGGTTTAAAACGAACTGTCCACATGAACCTTATAAAACAAAAATTCATTTAACATGCCTATTTTGGAATCATAATTTTAACAACCTTTAAGATAGGTTATACCATAAAATTCTGTTTAAAAAAGAATAAATTTTAATTTAAAAAGATTAAATATTTAATATAAATATTTAATTTATATTTTAATATTTTACACATGAAATGAAAACATGTACTCCCGTATTACACCGAAAACCGCAATCAATCTGCCGCAGTAATTGTTTATGGTGAAACGCCGGAAGCTAAAATTAGTTACGCTATTTTGTAAAACTCTATCATAAGCCCGCGAATTAATAATCCACAGACGACGACTTTCATTTTCAAACCCCTAATTTTTTTTTGTTACACTCATACGGAAGTCACTTTGATGGAATTATCTTTTTTTATTAAATTAAAAAAAATTTTTTTTTTAGTGTACCTTTCTTTGTTCCAAAAGAAGAAAAAAAAATATCTAAAACTCGTGACTAGGGGCGTGATCAAATGATGATTAGAAACCGGCGTCTAAATTTTGCTATTTTGAGGGAATGTTAAAGAAAATGAGAGAAAAAAGTGATTACGTTCGAATGTGGGTTTATTGTTAGTTGCATAGATATTTTTTAATTGTGTAACTCATCTATTAAAACTTATCTAATTCAAACGAAAAACTTGTCTACGGTAATTACTATACTCGGTTAATTGTGATACTTTGTCTAATCATGATGATATTAAAGCACAACTAATCATTATAAACACTTTACATAAACTGCCGAAAAGAATATCGAACCATATTTAAAAGTTGTAAGTGAACAAAAATAAAACTGATAACGCGTTTATTCAACTATTAATTTAAAATATTATGTTTATTTATGTCTAATAAAACGGAGACATTTCCTTGTCCTCCTTAAAGTACTTCAATGACTGGTTTAAATCTTATTTCTTCATACAAAACATTGAATTTCAGTTAGAATGCAATACAATATGCAAATGTTACACGGGACAAATATTTGTATTATGATTCATGCTAAATAAGGAACATGCTGCGCCTCATAAAGAATAAATAAACGAATAAAGAAAAAAAGGAAGAACAAGGAATATGCAAATGCATCATAATGGGATGTTGACCCTCCGATCAATAGATCAATAGATGTGATTATTATAGGCTGTATTAATCGACGGAAACACAAAATTTACATTGTGATGACGCGCATTTTATAATATATTCGGGTAAAAAATTTACGATGGACTTTATTTTCAGCTAACAATCAAAAAAGAAAGAAAAATGTTTGTCGTGAATTTTTTTTTTTATTATTAAAAAAAACTCCCTTTTATTTACAACTTTTTTTTTTTGGTGTTAAAAAAAAAAAAAATAAAAATTATTTTCCCTAAGCGAGAAGTGCTAATCTAAAAAATATTATTCAGGTACTGTATATTTCAATAAAAACAATGGTAACCTTTCTGCGATTGGGAACTTTTCCTTGGCCTACCCCTTCTCTTTTTATATATGGCATTTTGTGCAGCTGTTAACCTCATAGGAGAGGGAGATGAAGAGGAAGAGGAAGAGGAGGAAGTGATGGTGGTGGTATTTACCGAGGGTAATTGTTTTAATTTAGTTATAGTATTATCAATTTGATCCAGTTTAGAAGAATAAGAAATCAATTCTTTTTTAAGAGATTTTGCGAATCTAAACCTGGTAGACATTTTAAAATAATAATAAAATTCAACAACTTGTTTAATTGGTTTTTTCAACAATCTGGCGATAAGACCGAAATTTTTCCCCTCTGATAAATATAAAGCCAAAAAATTTTTTTGCTCTTGATAAGTCCAACCAGATAAAACCTGTCCTTTCGATTTTGGTATGGGATAATTTGGATTATTCGATTTCGGTAGGAAAGTTTCCTCGGGAATATTTTCAGAAGGTAAGGTCACCTTTCTTGAAAATGAAGGGATCTCTGCCACCTTGTTTGAATATTTTAACAAAACCTTTTCCTCCTCCGTCAATGGATGCCTCGGTAGTTTCTGATGCCTTTGATGCCTTTGATGCAGCTTTTGATGCAGCTTTTGATGCTTTTGATGTTTCTTCTTTGAAGGAGGATCCTGACTTGGTATCGTTTTTTTACTACGTGTGCGAGTGGCGATACCGTTGACGGGTAACTTCAATTTTAAGATGATATCTTCTTTTGTTTTCCTTTGATTATTTCCCTTGTTATCCTCACACGTGTCATCGTCATGGTCATCATTTGAGAATTTTGCTTCGTCCTTGATAAGATTATCACTCGTTTCTTCCAGGTCGTCCGAACGAGAAGAGACGGAAAAGGAATGTGATGATTGTAAAATGGAAGGTGATGATTTTAAGGGAGGTGATGATTGTATGAGAAAAGGTGATGATTGTATGAGAAAAGGTGATGATTGCTTCTGCGAATCAATTTTTTGAACGTTCAAGTTATTATTATATGAAGAAGGAAGTTTCTGTTTGTTATGAGAGGTGAAAGTATAAATTTTTTGCGGGAAGGAATTTTCATATATTGTAGGCATCGTTGCTGTTAACCAGGGGGAATAAGAAGATATATGAGGTTCTCCAAATGAACTATTAACGTGAATGCCAAAAGGGGTAGTAGGTGTCGTCGGAGAATCAGGATGATCACTTACTATATCATCACTGGTATGATCTTCCGCTCCGAGGCATTGGTCGGACGCAGTCAGTTCGGAAGTAGAGCAACACGATGACGACGTACTATCGTCATTGGTGACAGAAGAAAAGTAGGTTTGCGTTAATGATGTTGGTGATGTGTCGGTGGAATTAAAAATATTTTGATTTCGATTCTGAAAGTGAAATTTTTTATTTTGATCTTGAGATAAAAAGTATGTATTTAATTTGGTCAAAGAATTAATGTTATAAACACCACCGGTGTTGTTGTTATCACGGGACATTTTATTGTTGGTGGGGGTATTGCGTTGAGTTTTTTTTTATTTTTAGGGTGGTGTGAGAAGGGAGAAAATATATTTTTAAGAAATGATGATAAATGATTGTTCGAAACTCTTTTTTTTGGTGGCAATAATAATAATAATAATAATAATAATAATAAAAATAACAATAATAATAACAATAATAAAAATAATAATAATAATAATAATAATAATTTTCTTTCTATCAAAGAGAAAAAAAAGAAAGTTATTTTTTTTTGTTTTTGAGCAGTAATAAAAATAATAGAATATTATCTTTTTTTTTTTTTTTTTTTTTTTTTTTTTTATTATTTTTTATTTTTTTTTTTTTGGTGTGCAAAGTTTGAAAAATTTGTTGAGTTGAAAAAAAAAATTTTGGTATGAGTTGCAGATGTACGCCGAATTTAACACTTAAATATAAAAAAATGGGGTGTCATCAAGAATGAGGCTGTTAATGTATAATAAAATTAAAAATATTTGGGGATCTCAATTGAAATCAACATAACAACTTCAAATGTTTAAACTTTACCAATTATGTAAATTAACAAATAACGCTTTCAATAGAAGAAAAAAAAAAAAAGGAGAAAAAAAAAAAAGAAGGTTTGTTGAATAGAAAAACAATAAAATGTATTACTTTATAAAAAAAAAATAAAAATAAAAATAAAAATAAAAAATAAAAAAAAATAAAAAAATAAAATAAAAAAAAACCAGACCTCGTTCTGGAAAAGTTTCTTGTTATACCGCGCCCCTTTCAGTAGAAATTTTTTTTAGACATCAAAAAAAAAGAATAATAATGAAAAATTCAATCAACAATTTTTTTTTTATGTAGCATTTTTTTTTTTTTTTTTTTTTTTTTTTTTTTTTTTTTTTGGGGGGGGGGGGGGGGCGGGCCCCCCCCCCAATCTGCACAAAGCGAAATTTATTTTGAGGGGGATGAATGACAATCCAAAGAACAGTCTGTAAAAAAAGTCTTTGAAGATCATTACTCTTTATTCGATTTAAATTACCTTTTTTAGAACCATACAAAGTGTTGTTTTCTTTCCTTACAAACTGACCGAATAAACTAAAAAACCCTGTTTCACCACCACTCATCTGCTTAATCATACTTAGCCAAAATCCAAAACTTTTTAAACAAAAAGGCATAAAATCTTTATTCGGCGACAATATTTGTAATTTATTATTATTTTTAGCAAATAAATATTTTGTTTGTTGCCACGCTTGTTCTTTTTGTTCAAAAAAAGGCAAACTTTTTTATTTAGGTTAAAAATAATTGATTGTACGTGAAAAAAATAATGATATCGCGAGAAAACTAACGTGAAAATTTTATAAAATTCAAAATTAGAAACCGTATATAAAAATCTATTCCAAGGAGGTGGGATGGGGTGAGATAATAGTGTGATGTCAACTTATACGCTTCGGTCAGGATTTCTTAAATAGAAACTTTAACAATTTATTTTTTTTTCCCTCAATCTCGTCATTAACTAACAATATAAAAAAAAAGGAGCAAGCTCGCAGGAAAAAAAAAATAAAACATCTCGTGAATTTTCATAATATTTCTCTAATAGAAAAGAGCAACCATCTTTTTTTTTTTTCTTTTTTCCTCATTGTACGCATTATTCTTTTCGCGAAAGAAATAGCGGAATGCTTTTGCTTTAATTAATTACAATGAAATGAATGTACATTGTCATTCATGCAAAATTTATCACGCATATATCATGACACTCTTTTTGTGCACATTTGATTATATACAACGGGTAACTCACACATTATGACTAATAAATAATAAACAAGAGTAAAACAAAAAAGAAATTCCTCTATAGATGTCTCAACAATATAACGATTATTCTTTGCATAAGTTTTGATACCGGTAATGATTATCTCGCGCAGAAATGGCATGACAATCCGTCCTCTGCGGGTGCTCGGATTGTTACTCGTCCTGTTGATTGTTGATTGACGACAGAATAGTTTTTGAGGAAACAATTACAATCGGAGTAATATACCGCCATATTACATGAGCGATTTTTTTTTAGTTGTTCTTTTATTTCCTTTCATCATTGTTGCTTCATTCTCTTTTTGATTTTTTTTGTTCCCTCGTTTAATGATTGTCCGGAAACGTATTCTCCATAAGGCGCAGCAACCACTTTTGTTAGCGTGAGAAATAAATGCATCATATAAAATATTTATAATTTGTGTAACGTTCCATCTTGAGTGCATTTTACCATTTTCACAATTTTTAATTGAAACTTTGTTTTTCTCTGTATAAATAAATTTTTTTTTTTTTTTTTTTAAGATTTAACCAATTAATGTAAAGAGACGCTTCAAAGGATTATAAATATTTGAATATTTCCCGAACGATTATTAATTTATTTATTTTTTGATGGATAAAAAAATGTTTTTTCGACAAAGTAAATGAATTTTAAACGCGTTTTATCATCCCAACGGGAAAAGATGTTTGACGCACCCGCAATCGTTGTTGCGTAATCCAGATGAAGGACGACGCAATTTGGTAAGGAACTTCGTAATGTTGGTTTAAATACGTTGTTACACAACTGATTTCACCTCACAAGAGATATGATATCTTATGCACCAACACAAGCCATATCCAACAAAAAATGGATATCATTCCAAGAATCCAAAAATAGACGCAATAACTAAATTTGGTTTAAATCAAGAATGAACACAAGCTTCAAAGCAATTCCCAACTTGACAATTTCAATCACGAGTGAGATTATGACGTTTGGGTTAATTAATGTTTTTTCTGAGAAGTGATGACACGGGACATTACGGGAAATTTTATTGTTTATTTATTTTGACAAAAAACAAAATAAAAAATTTAATTTACATTTTGTCCTTTCTAAAAAATAAACCGAAAGGTTCATTTACCGTTTTAACTAACTCAAAAGGTAACCAAAAAAATTCAGGGTATAAAAGTAACATCGTTTGCTAAAGTTCGCGGCCTGTGACGGTTTGACATCTTCTAAACCCATTTCAGATCGTTGTGTTCTGTACCTGAATATTCAACTGCGGTATTTGAGCTGAGATCTCACGTGTAAATATGTGAACAAGTTGTTAATTTATTCTTTAAAGGAAGTCATTAAAAGAGGTAATTTTTTTTTTAATTTATCTTTATTAACAGTATAATATAAAATAATTTTTTTTTTTACTCATGAAAAAAAAAATTTTTTTGGGTAAATTTAAAAAACGAGGTGAGAAATCCCGCAAATTACCTGCTTAATTTCTAAGCGCATTAAAATTTTCAAACAATTTATTTTTAATTACTTTTTTTTCATAAATTTATTTCTGAAAGCTTTTTCTTTTAGGGAAAAAAAAAAAAAAAAAAGAAAAAAAAATTTTTTTTTCACCAAAGAAGCTTCAGAGAAGCGGTGCATCGAATGTGCATAATCAATTGAAGTCACGTGACAGCCAAAGTAAATATCGGGCAACTCGCGATTTTACAGCTCTTGTTAAAATTTCTTATTTTGTACCAAAAAGATCTCATTATGAAACTGTGTTTGATGCATAAAAGATAATCTAATTTAGGAAAAAAAATTGCCAGTTTGCCCAACAGCCTAAAATAGCGAAATTTTATTTTTTCAATGCCAACAAGTTTGTGCTTTAAATAGCGTCAAATTAATTTTTGATGCCTTATCTAAAAAGAAAATAGAAAAAGAAAAGAGAAAGGGAAATAAGTGATGATCAAAATGATTTTTTTCGTACGTAATGGTCACGTGTTACGCATGTTATCGAACAGATCATGTCGTGTTTGTCGAACGGTACTGTTCGATTAACGCGTTTTCTTTGGCGCTTATTTAAAATTCAAATCATTTAACCAAATATTTTCTCGTTTCAAAAGAAAATAGTGCATATTTGTCATCATGACGAACAAAAATATTTTTCATAGGCCAAGAGAAAAAGGATGCTGAGCCACGTGATCTACTGTGGCTGGCATTTTGTGCCTAGATTTTTTCTTGGCCGCTTTTTGTTGGTTTGGAGATGAAGGAAAGATGGCGTAATCACAAAAACTCTAAAAAGCACAGTTAATTTAATCTTTTTTTGTAACCAAAAAGAACTTTGATCGTTCTTTCAAATCTGTTTTTAACTATAAAAAAAATTTTTTTGAATCTTTGAGAATTAGCAAAAAAGGTCTAACCCGATAATTTAATTGGATGAAATAGATTTGTAATTGTAATATTTGGGGAATACAGATTAAACTTTGGACTGATGAGAATAGATTGTCATTTGTAAGACTATTTCTTTAATCGGAAAAGATCATTATCTGGTTATCTGGTATAAAATATTTTTTGTAGGAAAACAATTCTGGTGATTAAATCGCGTTATATCTTGTAAAAATGAGAAAACAAAATGGGGGGGGGTTTTATTTCCAATCTATAAACAACCTTGGCATTTCTCTTTTTTTTTTTTTTTTTTTTTTTTTACATTGTGACAATCAATAAATAATAAATATGGCAAATAAATGTAAATAAAATAAAATAAATGAACCTTATTTAATCATCAATTTCTAATTTTAATTTGATTTATGCAAAGATGTGCAATTTTTTTTTTTTGCATTCTTTTAAATTTAGGTAACTATGATATTATCTCTGTTGGAATAAAGATTTTCGGTTATTGGTGTTGGCGTTGGAAGTAATCCCCAAGGTATTGGACTTTTTTTTTTCAATTCCAGAAAAAAAAAATAAAGATTATTATTATCATTATTTTCAAACAAAAAAAAAAATCCTTTATGAAAAAAAATATATCAACTATTTGCATTTATTCGGATTGGGAAATTTGGTTCGACAAACCTGGAATACCAATTTGTATTAGTTATACCAAATCTGTTGAATAATAAATAAATAACCTTATGTTGAAATATATTTTTTTTTGTTTTTGAGTCTTTTATACTTGAAAAAAAAAATATTCTCTCTCTCTATCTCTTCAAATTGAATTAATAAGGCGGAGGGTTTCTTTTTTTTTTAAAAAAAATTTGAGGTAAAATTTTAAATAATTTCGTGTAAAAAAGTATCATTCTCACAATTTCTTCAAAAAAAGAATAAGATGAAACACTAATACGAATTCTTGTTTCAAATAAATAAAGTCAGTTAAAATCTTTGTTACATAATGAATGATAATTAAATATTTCTTTCTTTTTGGAAAGGCCTGTTATAATAAAATTACACAAAAGTGACATTAACCGTTATTTACGTTACGATAGATACATTTATCATTTGAGGGTCTCGCAATAAATTTCTCGCGTTACTTTGTTTACGTTCAGAAAAAGGGGTGGGGAATTTATGAAATGTCGCACACGATAGTTAACACGATGATTAACCGTTTCATTTTCAAGGAAAACTAAAAGAAAAAAAATTTTTTAATGATTGTTTCTTCATATAAATTTTATCAAATAAAATATGCGTGCGCATACTCCTACCTAAAAAAAAAGAAAAATCAAACATAACCTCGTATTTTAAATTTTTAAACAAAAGTTTTACTGTAATTGAATTTGCTTTTTTAAAGTAAACGGAATTAAATTATTCATTAGGATCAACGTTTATGTGATTAACGAATAAGAGTAAGCCAGATTTTTGAAATTTTTCATATGCCACGTAAATTTTCTAAAAATTTCACAAATTTTTAATAAACTAAAAATAAATAACCTCACTTTAAAAATAATCTGTATAAATACAATTGTAAATTCTCATTCATTAATAAAATTTCCCAACCTGTATATCGCATAAATCTAACTTGAATTGTAACAAATTAAAAAACAAGGATAAAAATCACGTTAGAAAAATGTTGGAATGTTCTAAAGGGATTTCATTATCATTATATCATTACCGGAATATACCGACAGTGTCTCAAAATCACCTTGTTCACGTGATAGTGCATGAAACGATCGCCGAGGTGAGCTGAGATCGGCTTTCCGAAGTTTGTGATAATTAGTTCGTCTCGAGTTACACGACCCAGTCACATCCTATTTTGGCAAGCTTTTTTGTAGTAAAGAAATATCGAGTGGGCGCAGATAACTGACAAAAAAAAAAAAATTTTCTCTTTCATTTTTTAGTAAATGTTTTCTAGACCGTCATTTAAAGAGGGTCATTTTAATTGTCATTTTAATGATTATATTCTTGTGTGAAAAAATAAGTAAAACAATAATAAAATAGTTTCTATAATGATAAAAAAGTGTTACAAATATCCTGCAATAGAATGTTGGAACTTTATTATTGTGGTTGAACATTAAAAAAAAAAAAAAAAAATAGGGCAAACCCCTTTTTTGGGGAAAAAAAGATACTTTCCATTTCAATTACGGTAAACATGAAAATTTTTTTTTTATATTATCTTTTTTACTTTAATAAATTACTTGACTTTATTTTCAAGAAATTTCCAGAAATTACCAAAAAATTCGAATATCTTTTATCTCCGTTTTGTTTAATCAAGATGATACAATGCAAACCCTTTTTTTGAAATCAAAAATTCATTGTTTTCGAAACGTTTTACTTTAAGCCTTATTTTCCAAAAGTGTAAAACGATACTTAACAATGAACAATTATAAATCACATGATATCATGCCGAAATTCTTTTGATTTCGCGTATATGTTTATCTAACAAAAGCCCATTTATCTAAACGGCGACGGTCGCTTTATTTAATTCTTTGAATTTGCTCCAAGATTGTTTCAAAACCAGGTTCAAAGCGGAACCTGATTCGAACGCATATAATGTTTCATCAACTTTCCATACTCTCCACATCCACGTTTTGGTCCAAATTCTAATGGGACCTTTTTGGTGAAAGTTATAATACGAATTTTTATTTTTCACCATATATAGTCTAAAGCATAAATGTTATTTACTGATTTATCAGAAGTACAGATGTAGAAAACTCCTCGGTCAGTTGGTTACTTCTCACTCACAAATTTAAAAAAAGTTAGTCTCATATTTGTCAAGAATTCTAGCTGGTATTATATTCTGCAAAGTAATTCTATTATAAGGTTTGGTTTCCCTTTCTTGACTTCTTTAATAGTAACAACAGCACCTTAAACGTTGGTTCCTAATATACATTCTTTATTGCTCTCAAATTTTCAACATTTTATTTATTTTTATTTTTTTTCTTTTTAGGAATACGTTAGAAGGTTTATGCATATTCGTGTCACATTCATTTGAAATTCTGTAGTTCTGTAATTCTGTTGATAACACACCACGTGTAATTAATAGATGTTTAGATGATCTTTCTTTGACAGGATGGTCAGTGACCTGATTTAGATAAAATTTAGGGATCACGTGATAATTTACAAAATAATTTCAATCTATCGAATGAATATACGGCTTTAAAGGAAATGGTATGATATTAAGAACTTCAACACTTGAGTCACGTAAAGAAGTAGTGACAGGAAAGTATTTTCCCGAGTTATGATGCTGATTTATTTGAAATTTAGATGATTTATGCAGATGAAAAAAAGTTAAAAAAAGATGCAAGTAGTTTGGTCTTTGCAAAGATAATTGTTAGGGATTTTCTCCAACCCGCATTTAAGATTGTTTTCAACCATGTGACCTTTCTTTTATTGACAGAAAAGGTGACGAGTCAGATAATACATGTAATCCTTCGTCAAAAACGATAACAACCCTACTCTTATAATAATTTATTATCCGGTTTTATTTTTTTAAAAAAAAGACCCACCCATTCTTTAAAAATCATTAGCCGCAGCAATAAATTAAAAATTGTCGATCATCATTGGGATAATATTTTTATCCCATATTGAGATAAACATATTTTAACACGAACTTTTTTTCATCAAGACTTTAAGAAGAACTATCTTTGAAATTAAGAAAAACTTCAATTATAATTATTAACATGAGGCATACAATGTGATTTATGAATAAAAAGTGGTTCTATAAAGAATGTGTTAAATAAAATCATCATTGGAGAAGTTTTTAAACTTTTAACAAATTATAAAAAAGGGAAGCAATGATGAAAGGCACCTCCTTTCCACAAGTATTTGTACGAAAGAAAAAAATTGAATGAAATAGAAGAGTAAACAATACAAGAAATCAATGAAATGTGTGAAAGAATACAATAACATTCATTAATAATCGAATTGCCTTATTATTTTAATAAAAAAAAATAAAAAAAAATATAAAAATAAAAATAAAATGGAAAAAAAAATTGAATCAAATTTAATTAAATAATATTCACTCTGTCTCATAAAGGATATCAATCGTTAATTAAGGTTAACTCACCTCATACTAAATAGAACAAAAATTCCATATATATATAAATACTCTCCCAACTGTGATAATTTCTTTTTGTTAAAGTTTTGGTTTAAGGAAAGGATGGGATGGGATTGTGACTTTTCCCCATACTTATATAGTATGGATAACAAGTATAAGTTATTTAGACCTTATAAATTTACTGCACCTCATATAAGTCTCGGCAAATTTAAAGAAAAATCATCGAAATTGCTAATATACATTATACATATATATATTGAATTGAACTTGAAACCACGATATAATTAAATAATTAATATTTGTCGGGAACTCGAAAATAACTGCGACCCACTGTTTGCCTACTCCATAAATCAGTAATACTCCCCCCCAAAAACCTGCTATTAACATTTCTAAAATGTTTAACTTCTGAATAATTCCAGAAATTTCAATTATAAAAACAAATTGGTCGTTCGAAAATCAAGTAGCGTGATTTTAAGCCCAAATGATTACTTTCCTGGGAGCATGATAAAACGCGTGAAGCTCCGATCCTACATTGATTGATCGCGTAAAATCGTTACTAACCGTTATAAAAATAATATCGATATCGGTAAATAGTTGGTGAAAATTTTGAGGATCTCAAATAGTCATATTTAAAAGCACGTTTCGTACATACCCGGGTACTGTATGGCGTTTACACGTATAATCGAGGCCTCGTAGGCGTCAATTCATAATTTTTTCTTTTCTTGACTAGGACGATAATAGACTAGCTCCAATTTTTCATGACATATTAAAAAGATATCTCAAATTCTCGAGATAGTGAAGTTTTTCGGTAAATACTGTATGTCGCATATGTGGGCGTATTTGTGATCTATCCAACTAACTACTTTGTGCAGATTCGTTATCATGATATTTCATAATCCTTAGATAATTTCATGTTCCGACCCAATAAAACCAATAAAACCTATCTATATTCTCACTCCGCTTCGTACCTGTAATAACTAAATTTAATTAAATCATCAAGGTCAAATTGCGAATTGCCAAGTTTGTTTAGCTAAGGAGATATCACGGATGAGATTGTTGTCTTCTATTGGTAAAAATGAGAAGCATAAAGATGGACGAAAATTTGGATATTATGAGAAATAAAGGAAGCAATTGAAGAAGCAGATAAAAGAGATATCAATTTTACGTAACAAATCCTGAAGTCATATACAAGTAGAAATGATATTAATTCGTCTTTAATAGCTTCATATCTTGAAAAGGTTGAGAATAATTAAATATAAATAATGTTAGGTGGTATGTTCATTATATAAGTTGATATGCCCTTTATTAAGAATTCATTTGATTAACATGATATGTTTATAAAATGTTATTTTTTATTATGTTTATAATACTATTTTCTTAAAAAATAAATATATGGACCACTTAAAAGTTCTTGATCCTTACTTTTGATAAAATTCAAAAAAAAAAATAAACAGGTTTTTAATGAACTTATTTCTTATCAAAATTTGATCATGCGCGAATTAATTCCAACATGTGAAAGCACGTGTCACGAAAAGATTATTATTATTTTTTTTTTTTTCGTTCGAAAAGTTCATTTTATATATAATGTTGAATATAACTGAGATATATGGGAAATATTATTTGATGTTTTTTAAAACTGTAAGGATGATCGAAAAGAAAGTTTTTGATTTCGATATTGCTAATATCTTTACGAGTTCTATCATTAAATTCCAATTAATGTCAAGACCTAACCTACCTGTCCGAGCGTGGTTAAAATCAATGACCAACGTTATTAATAAAAGCATTCCTTGAATTTTTGTGGACCATACAAGCATCCAAAATCACAAACCCTTTTCTTCTCTTAACCCTATTTAAGACTATTTTTTTGATCTAATTAAAATCTGTATATTTTCGGTGTCGAATAACATCGTGAATTAAATAAATAATTTAATTTTTTGATCGATCTGCAAAATTACTTGTTCCATAAATTATGAAATGTAACCATGATAATGCAGGTTCAACGATCTTTATTGGGTCTCGATCCATAATATGGCGCTTTAGGAAAATGCCGGGAGAAACAAAGATTAACGTCAAAAAAAACAAAAGAAAAATGATTTTTTTTTGGCCTTTCTGCCCATTGTCAGATTTAAGCTAAATCATTTACATCAGCTCTCACTGCTCTTTAAATAGTATCCCGGCTCTTGTATTTCATTAGTCAGAGAATTGTCTGTTCAATTTATCCCATTAAAATATTTAAAAGTTGCTATTGGGAAAAGTAACCTTTGTTACTTGGTTAATTTAACCGTAATGAAAAACCAATCAAAATTAGGATTTATTTTATTTAATCCATGATTGGGCTATTATTAATTTAGATAGAAAATTATATATTATAATGAAGAAAAGAATAATGGAATGGAAATAACATTAATTAACCGGTTAATTATCATCCATAACTTGTTCCAATTACATTTTATTGATCGTATTATTCATTACTTATTATACCTTTGTTTATTAATACAAAAAGATTTTTTTTTTGTCAATTCAAACTTCTCATAAATATATACCCGTATGGGATCGATCTGTTTAGCCGCTTTTTCCAAATTTGGTTGGCATGACGATAATAGTAAAGTTATAATCAACCAATTTCGGCTAAACATTTTACCGACATTATTCGGATAATTTCATTCCTTAACGTTAATTGAAAATGCGTGAAAATCGAGATTTATTGTCCAAGAATATGGCTAATGGTTGTTGGATAAATTATAACCGAGATCTACGGAAAAAATTCCTCGAGATCTTAATTAAAATGGTTTCCAAAGGAGAAGAGAAAATAATTAAAAAATACCTTTTTCAAAACAAAATTATTCTATTCACAGATTTAACATTATTGATTGCGGAGGTTTATGCTTTCAACCATTAATCCAATTCAAAAAATTCTAAAATGTAAATTGCGTACCTATCGCTGATTTAAAATCAAAATCGGTATTTCGGTCCGAAATTACTTCATATGACGATTATCTTTTATCGTATTACAATGGAATTTATTAATTACATATTTCGATGAAAGTATATGCTTATAAAAGGGAGAAAATTTGCTCAACAAAAATCAAAAAAAAAAAAATAATAATTTCTTGTAATAAAATTTTAACTCGTTAAAAAAAAGAACCATAGTTAAATAAAATGTCTTCAGACATACAAACGACTGAGGTTCATTCGTTGTCAAATACAAATTCAACAACGTGTGTCGACAAACGTGTCGACAATTATCCGAACGAAAAAATTGATCCAGAGGCTCAAATAATAGTTAAGATAGAAGACGCATTAAATGTTGAAGCACTAAAAAATGGTCAAGCTACAGTTCAATTAAGCAAAATTGAATTGATCATGGTGATGATCGGGTATGTTGCTGTTGCTCACAAATATAAACTGCGCCAATATCATGAACTCAAAGAACTTTCTTTTATTTAGTTTGTCACTTGGAGTTTTTTTGGCTGCATTGGATACAACTATCGTATCCACGGCATTACCAAAAATCGCTTCAGAATTTAATTCTCTGGATCAAATTTCTTGGGTTGCCACTTCATATTTACTAACAACAGTAAGTTTAATCGCTTTTTTTAGTTTTCTTTCGATACGATTAATATCTTTTTAAAAAAAAAAAAATTCCCATTTTTAATAGACGGCTTTACAACCAACTTATGGCAAATTTTCGGATATTTTTGGAAGAAAAATAACATTCTTATTTGCAATTACAATTTTCGAAATAGGAAGTTTGCTTTGTGGTCTGGCCCCAAATATGGTACATCAAGTAAAAGACGTTTCTTTTACAAACTTCGCGTTGAAGCTAATCATTTGTTCATCGGTTTTTTTTAAAGGTTTCATTGATTATATTCCGTGCCATAGCTGGACTTGGAGGTGGCGGAATCATTAGCTTGGTTATTGTTATAATAACAGATATCGTCTCATTTCAAGATCGCGGAAAATATCAAGGAATGATTGGAGCTGTTTTTGGTATCGCCTCAGTGGTGGGTCCATTACTTGGAGGCGCTTTTACAGGTGAATAAGTTAAAAGTGAAAGAACATCTATCTTGATAAAATTTCTAATATTTTTGACATTTTCAATGTATTTGTTATTTAATTTCCATTTAGATCACTTAACTTGGAGGTAAATATGGACTCTCCAGCAAATTTTAAACTGTCTAACTTGAAACACTAAAGTTTTTTTTTTCACGCTTCTCTTGATTATTGGATCAGATGGGCATTTTATATTAATATTCCACTAGGAGCAATAACAATTGTCGCAATAATATTTTTGCTTCGTATTCCACGCCCAAAAGGCTCACTAATACAAAAAATTAAACGAATAGATTATCTTGGAACCATTGTTATGACGTTTACTATTATAGCCTTTTTATTACCATTGAGTTGGGGAGGAAATGAGTACGCATGGAATTCTCCCGTAATTATTGTACTATTAATAGTGGGATGTGGTGGAATTTTTTTATTTGCTTTGGTTGAAGTTAAATTTGCCAATGAACCCGTTTCGCCTCGTATGTACGCCCATTAAAGATGAAGTACTTTGCTTAAGACATGAGATCTGAGAAATTTTGCTTTATAACCTTGGATTTTTTTTTTTTTTTTTTGAATAGCACACTTGTTTAAAAGTGTCAATATTGTTGGAACCTTTGGCACGAATTTCTTTCAAGGAATGGCATTTTTTGGTTTGATTTATTACATTCCAGTTTATTTCCAAGTTATAAAAGGTGATAGTGGTAAGTATCTCGGGAAACCATCTTTCTCAACTCTCTCTTTTTTTCACCTGTTAAATATGCGCTTCTATCTTCATTTTCCAGCTACCGCGTCAGGTCTAGAATTAATCCCATACATTCTTGGTGTGGTATTAGCGTCAATAATAGCCGGTCAATTTATGTCACGGACAGATATAGCATCTTATCGTACGATAAGTATATTAGGTGGAGTAATGATCGCAGTTGGATCAGGATTACTTACTTTATGGAACGAAAATACTGGAAGAGGTGTTCAAATTGCTTACATGATTATCGCCGGCATAGGAGTAGGAGGTAAGATAAAGATGGATGACATACTTCGTTAGTGTGTCTGTTTTACTGACGGCGCTGCTCGTTATAATTTCTTTAGTTATCCTTCAATCTACAATGCTTTGTGGACAACAGATTGTCGATAATAAAGATGTCGCGGTTATTACTTCTCTTTTATCCTTCTTTAGAACAAGTGAGCGTATAATATTTTCAAATTTGGTTTTTTTTTGTTTTTTATGAAATCCAAGACACTTATAATTCCCTTTTTTTAAAAAATGTTTATTCATTTAGTTGGAGCCGTATTTGGTATCGCAATGATCGGCACAACATTCAAAAATGTTCTTGCTCATAATTTGGATAAACTTTCATTACCAGCTGATATAAATTTGGTTGTGAGACAATCCGCTCTTGCAGTTCATGAATTGCCCGACGATATGAGAATTCCGGTTATAGCTGCTTACGTTAATGCTTTGAGTTCAGCCTATATGGTTTTAGTACCAATGGGGGCATTATGTGCTTTGTCTGCAATGTTTATTGGAAATCATAAACCTATAATAAGTGAAAAAGAGACGGTGGTTGTTTTTGAGTAAATCGATCATGGTTTTCACATGAAATTTACCTCGATCATGCCGTTAGCTCCGAGTTGCTAAAAAAAAAAGTGGAAAGCTGCTGTATTTTTGCCAAAAGATTTTATTAAAAAAAAAATAAGGCTAATTTTTTTCCAAACGCTTTTTTTTTTACTTCAATTTTATCGAGAGGGTCTTTTGCATCTATTATTTTGTCGACAAATTAGAAATGCATCATTAATATGTACTTATTTGTTTGTCGTTCAAAAATAATTTTGTATTTCAAAAAAACGAGAAATTTAATTAAAATAAGAGTTTAAATGCCATCCGATTATTGGCACAATATTGTCAAACCAAGCCTTGGATTGAATATTCTTTTTTCTTGTTAGAAATGGTTGTTAGAAATGACATATGGGATGTTCGGAACCTATTTTAACGTGTTGCTTAAAAATTTAGAAACTTTATCGAAACCTTTAGAATGAAATCTTAAACTAGATTAAACTTAATTAAGTTTAGGAAACCCTATTAGAAGTTTAGGTAAAGATATTTATTATAAACACATAGTTTAATCTCAATTATCTCGAAACCCAAATTTTCTAAAATAGTTTAGAGAGCATTTTTATATGGGAGGTTTGCCTAAAATTTAATCCTTATTACATATTTTCTTCTTATTTTAATCAATATTTTTCTTGTTATATCCAATTAATAAAATAATAAACTTAGTGTTAATTTTGCAATTTACCTAAAATAATAAAACTTAGCCACGTGAACAATTTCTATTCGTCAATAAATATTGTTATTACTAACTACTATTTATTCGAAATATTATAGTATAATCAATTTATTAAACAAATCGATGGAATAATATCGAACATTATCTTTTAGAATGTGACAACAAAATAAATCGGGAAGTTAACTGACAATACTAATGATACTAATAGTAATAATTATACAAGTTCTGATGATAGCGATAGTTGAGATGATAATTATAACGCATCTGACATTTTTGAAGATTATTCTCACCAGATTATGAATATCCAGATAATTTTAACAATACGCAAAATATTAATGATAATATTTATTTTAAGATTTCAAATTTGTTAAATTTGTTAAATTTGTTGTTACCCAAACTTGGAAATTAGTGTGTGCCACAATAAATCATCCAATCCAATTATATATGTTTCAAATTGAGAATGATGATCAAATCACGTGATAAATATAAGGATGATTTATGATTGGTCAAAAATAATTTTACTTTATTATATTGTCTATATTTTCAAAAACAAAATTTGGAATAGTTTGATAAGATTTATATTTTTAAAACATATTCATCTTAAAACCCATTAATTCTCTTCAATAACATTTCATAAATTTTGCTAATTTCTAAGCATATTTAAGTATTTGACTTAAAGGAACTGAATCTAAAGCATGTGCAACTAATCCTATTCAATTCTATTCCATTTTGATCTAATCTGATTTTCATGAAATTATTTTGACCAATTAAAAAATGGCAAGAATTAAATAGATATATGCCAAGTTGATTTGTTCTATTTTTAAATTTTAATATAATAATAGATGAGATAAATAATTCTTTTAAAAATAAACTAAATTAGATAATGATAACTATAGACTAATAAAGTAATTCTACTTGCTTTTATCTTTTTTTTGTTATTTTGTTTATCAAATACATAATGTTAAATCTAAATATTAGTGGTATAAAATCTACCTTTATATAGTAATATACGATATAAAAAAGTATTATAAATAGAAAAACAACAATTTAATAGGTTAGTACAAATCTATTTACATTATATAATATTTTAAAACAAATGAGATATTATTGATTTTTGAAATGTGAGCACATTTTTTTAAAACATTTGGATCATAACATTTTTAATCTGTTAATCTTTTGATCTTCAAATGATTTTAATTGACTACTTAATTTTTTAACAATTAGATCAGATAAAAATGAAACAAAATTGAATAGGACTACTAGTGTTTTGCAAATAATCTGACCTGATCAGATTTAAATCTACAAATTAGATCAAATTAGATTTATTATATTCTAATCAAATTCAGATTCAGATTTGGATTTAATCTGATTTATCAGATTCAGATTAGATTTAGATTTGAATTTGATATAATCTGTTAAATTTAAATTTAAATTTAATCTGATCAGATTAAATAAAAATCTGAAAACTAAAATTGAAAATAAAATATTCTCTTTAATAAAAAGAAACATTTTGGGTCTTTTTTAAATCTGAATTACATTTTCTTTAATAAAGAGAAACATTTCAGAATTTTTTTTAGATCTGAATTACATTTCTTTTTAATAAAGAGAAATATTTTGGATTTTTTTTAGATTTATATTATGTTTCTTTTTAAAAAAAGAAAAACTTTTCAGGTTATTTTTAGATCTGTATTATGTTTCTCTTTAAAAAAAAAAACTTTTTAGTCATTTTTAGATCTAAATTACATTCTTTTTAAAAAAAGAAAAACTTTATATGTCATTTTTAAATCTGAATTATTTGAATTATATTTTATGTTAAAAGATAAGAAACTTTTCAGGTTATTTTTAGATCTAAATTATGTTTCTCTTTAAAAAAAAAAAACTTTTTGGGTCTTTTTAAATTTGAATTATGTTTCTCTTTAAAAAAAGAGAATTTTTCAGATCTTTTTTTAAGACTGAAAACATTAAAAAAAATTGTTTTTTGGCATTTTTAGAACCTATTTAATATTTTTTTAATTTTTGATTTAGAATTGTTAAATTCAGATCTGGATTAATTAAATTCAGATCAGATACAGATTCAGATTCAAATACAGATATAGATCAGATACAAATACAAATTCAGATATAAATTTAAATTCAGATTTATCAGATTTTGTCTAAATATGATCTGATCTTATTTATACAAAACATTAAGGACTACTGTTTCATGTAATACTTTTCATGTATAATTACAATGCTATCAAAAATAATATTTAAAAGCCTTCTAATACATTTTTATATAATTAAGTTCATAATAATAAAATATCACTTTATATTCAAATTCTTCAATAATTTCCTATAATAAAGATTTTTGATTACAAAAATCTTCTTGAGCACCCAAAATATATCATGCATAACATTTAAAATTTTTTGTTAATTTGTTATTATTATCACAAAAAACTTTATATTCTAAAACTCATAAATCTCATTTTTATAAATTACCTTTATATTTTAGCTTTTTTATAATGACTTTTATCAAAATAGTTAAAAAAAAATATTACTATTGAATTTGCTTATTAAATATTATATCACATATTATTAATTGTTTGCCTTTAGAATTAAAATTTATTTTTGTCACATTTAAAGTATTATCAACAAATTTTACTTAATTAGATGAATTATTCCAAAACGTATCTTTTCAAAAATTAGTATAACTTAATTTTTAATCTAAAAAAAACTATTTTAAATTATTAATAATACTAATTTATTATTATATTATTAGTATAAAACATTTGATCAATTAGTTGATTAATATTAAAGCTTTTTATAAGCTAAGCCAGTTAGTTCATAAGACTCATAAGCTAGTTCGTTAAAGCTCAGCTTAAGTTACTATAAAATAGCTTATGAGTTGATTAAGCCAGCTCATGCTATAGCTCGACTCATAGCATAACTCAGCTCATCAGCTTGGATTTTTTATTTTTGAAAATAATAAATCTAGCAGATTAGCTTTAAAAAAACAATGTTTTAGGTAATTATTCTTTTGAATTTAAACAATTCTAGTAATATTTTTTTCAAGTAAATAAATAAATAATTCTGGCAAAATTTTCTTTAAAGTAAATAATTCTAGCAATATTTTTTCGAAGAAAAACAATTCTGGTAACCATTAGTTAAACAATTATAAATAGGAAAATCAATCAGGTCAAATCTGGTAACCCAAATTTGACTTGATTAGTCCCATATAAATACAAAATTACTGTCTTGAAAATTTTAAACATGTTTCAGTAGTTAAGTCTATCTCTAATTTTTTCTTTGCCATCTAACATTCTTTCATAAATTACTAAATTAGGTTTAAGTCTTCTAATTCAATTCATTTTTGTTTTTTTAAAATCAGGTGATTCCAATTGATGATAAATAATAGTGCAGATAGAATATATTAGGATTTCAATAAGATGTTATAAAGATATTAATAGGGTTATTCTTATTGATATCAATTTATTAACATTCAGCTTCCAATCGGATTATCCCTAAGTTATCAATAGAGTATTCTTATTTTTCTTTATTGAATAGTACATAAAGTAGTGATATCTAACTAAACTCTTTTTTGAAAAATTGTAATTTCGTCAAAAGTTTCGTCTCTTTAATATTTTTATATGAATAAATATAAAATTATTATATTTTTTAATGTATTTTAATTCAAGGAATTTAGATCAAGTTAAATATAATTTTGGCAATTAAGTAAAATAATTTTATCATTAATAAAAACTAGTTTCATAATTTTGGTTTCGTCAATTTCATCATATTAATAAAGGTAATTTCGTCAGGTATCACTAACTTGAAGTAAAGAAATTTCATATAGGCTTTATATACCCCTTAGAGTATATGATAGTTGCTATAAGAAGACCCCCAGTAGTCTCAATAGTCTCAATATCCAAGTATTAAGACACCAGATGAGATATCTATTCACTTGCATTACCCTAGTTATTATCATCTGTAATTAAGATTCTTGCTAAAATAAACATACTAGCTAATTCAGTTTATATTAAACTTAAACAGAGGGATTATTTCTGGCTGTATAAGAATATTACTACTTATATATTATCTAACTAATATGCAGGGTTTATGAAATGACCATAAAATTTACCCAAATGGTGAATTAGTAGGTGACTATTATATCCATTTTATCAAATAACTCAGGAATCAAACCTAATCTCTGATTCTAGTAATATATTGATTAGACAGTACTGCAGCATTTAATGCAGTCAAGATCTAATCTACTAAATTCTGATCAATTACTTCCTTAATTTATATTATAAGC